ATGGTATAAGAGGCCATGCGCTTGCATATTTTAAATCCTACCTTTCTAACAGGTATCAGTATGTCACCATTAAAGACACAGCCTCATCAATACAGCCACTTGATACTGGAGTTCCGCAGGGAAGTGTCCTTGGACCCCTGCTCTTCCTCATTTACGTCAATGATCTTCCAAACATATCCCAACACCTGAAACCCATTGTCTTTGCTGACGACACGACTTATGTCATCTCCCACCCTAATCTTGCCACCCTCAACACCATTGTTAACGAGGAGCTGCTCAAAATACCAACTTGGATGACAGCCAATAAACTTACACTTAACACTGGCAAAACCTACTATACAGTGGTCCCTCGTTTTTCATAATTAATCCGTTCCTGGAGCCGTTACTATAAACGAAATTTACGATTTACGAATCAATTTTCCCCATAAGAAATAATGTAAATACGATTAATCCATTCCTGACACCCAGAAGTATTAAAACAAAAAAAATTTTTACATGAAATATACATGTAGTACATATACAATACAATGGGAAATGATGAATGAAACATTAACAGCATAACACTTACCTTTATTGGAGATTCTTCTTAGTGTATGGGAGACTGGAGGAGAAGAGAGAGTGGATTGTTTATAGTTTGGAAGGGGAATCCCCTTCCAGCAACACTTCAGGTACCAATTGCTTTTCTGGGGTTGCTTGTCTTCTCTGTTTCTTAATGCCACTAGGACCACCTTGAGAGTCACTGGAGTCCTGTCTCGCAAAATAACTGTGGAGAGAGCTCTGTTTCTGACGTCTCTTTAACACTTCCCTTAAATGGCCCAAGACTTTGTCACTGTACATGTTGCCAACCTGGCTTGCAACAACCTTGTTAGGGTGATGTTTCTCCATAAAGCTTTCCATCTTACCCTACATAGTAAAAATCTCTTTAATTTCTGAAGAAGGCACCTTCTTCCATCTCTCTTCCTCCTCCTCTGCAGCAAGATTCTGAGCTGCGATGTGTTGCTCTTCCTGCTGAAGCTCTTGCAGCTCCTCAGTGGTGAGCTCTTCGTTGTGGTCTTCCACCAATTCTTCCGCATCCTCCAAACTCACATCCAACCCCATGGAACTCCTCAGTGCCACAATTGATTTTACAACAGACATAGGCTCATTAGGGTCAGTCCCAAACCCTTCAAAATCCCTCTTGTCGACACAATCTGGCCACAATTTTCTCCAGGCAGAGTTCAAAGTCCTGGTAGTCACTGCCTCCCAAGCCATACCTATAAGGGTTATGCAATGAAGGATGCTGAAGTGTTCTCTCCAAAATTCCCCTAGGGTCAAGTGAGTGTCTGTGGTCACAGTCAAGCACCTGTGAAACATTGCTTTTGTGTAGAGTTTTTTAAAGTTTGCAATGACCTGCAACCATGGGCTGGAGGAGAGGAGTGGCATTTGGGGGCAAGAATTTTACTGTGATGAACCCAAACTCCTCGAAAATTAGGTCATCCAAGTTTGGAGGATGAGCAGGTGCATTGTCCATTACTAACAGGCACTTGAGATCCAATTTCTTTTCCAGGAGATACTCCTTCACACTAGGGCCAAACACTTCATTGAACCACTCAACGAAAATTTCCCTCGTGACCCATGCCTTACTATTAGATTTCCAAAACACACACAATTTACTCTTCGTAACATTGTTTTTCCTGAACACTCTGGGATTTTCAGAATGGTACACTAGTAATGGCTTCACTTTGAAATCCCCACTAGCATTAGCACAGAACATTAGCGTCAGCCTGTCTTTCATAGGCTTGTGTCCTGGCATTGCCTTTTCCTCTTGTGTAATGAAGGTCCTCTTTGGCATTTTCTTCCAAAAGAGGCCTGTTTCATCACAGTTGAACACTTGTTCAGGTTTCAGTCCTTCAGCCTCTATGTACTCCTGGAATTCATGCACATATTTTTCAGCCGCCTTGTGGTCCGAACTGGCAGCCTCGCCATGCCTTACCACACTGTGTATGCCAGTACGGTTCTTAAATCTCTCAAACCAGCCTTTGCTGGCCTTAAATTCACCCACATCACCACTATTTGCAGGCAATTTCGCGATAGCATCGCGAACCTGGGGTCCACCGTATGTAGATAGATTGAGAAATTTGATGTTCTCCCTTTTTTTTTTTTATATGTAAGCCTTACAGGGGTTCCCATAATTAATAATGAGTAATGACATTGGCATTTCGGAAAAATTAAGTTACGTACTGTATTTAATATTTAACCTCCCTGGGTTAAACGTATAACCCTTTTGCTGACTGTGCCGTAGTAATACGCCTTTGAGTTCACTGGCCATGCCGTAGTACTATGTGATGAGCTCACCTCACTCAGATAAGCTGTGAGCAGTAAATTTGGGCCTTGATATGAGAAATTGGATTGATGTGGTAAGTGTGCACCATATAAAAAAAACGGCAGCATGCAGTGCACAATGAGAAAAAAGTATGATTGTGTTTTTGGTTTAAAATAGCAACTTTGTGGTGCATTTTCTTAGGGTTTTTATGATTGTATTCTCAGTTTCTTGTATAATTTGATAGAATGGATGATATATTGCAGAAATAGAGATGATTTTGATTGCTTTTACGACTGAAAATATATTTACAATGAGCTCAAAATAGTGGAAATGTTCAATTTTTGCCCATGTTCAAGAGTAAAAATCATGTCACACATCCATTACACATCAATTGGTGGGTCTAATATGTGTTTTCGAATGCGCTGATATTATTTATACAATTTTTACATTATTGCATAACAGTCAATCTTCTTTTTTTTTTTTTTTTTTTTTTTTTTTTTTTTTTTTTTTTTTTTTTTTTTTTTTTTTTTTTTTTTTTTTTTTTTTTTTTTTTTTTTTGTGAATAAGAAATCAAAATGGAATTCATGTGTAAAGCCTGAAAATATAGCTAATGAACAGAGGAAATGTTATTTTGGTGCCAGGAATGCCTGTATTATGTATTCTGGACCCTATTTTGAAAATGGAATATTTTGATATTTGTGTGAAATTGGGTACTTGAAAGGATTGGGCAATTTCTTGTGCTCAATCAATAAAATAGAAGAAATTCTATCAAAATAGCTAAGAATTTGGTCAACTGGAACAGTGTAATTGGCCTAAAATAGGACTCAAAGTGTGCAAAATTGCGGATGTGTAAATATCGCTGAAACAGCAAAATTTGTGAAAGCGTAATTTCATCAGTTTTCGATAAAATTTCATGCTTTTTATTTATAACTTCAGTAAGATTCTCTACCATTTCATAAGATTTTTTTTTTTTCAAGTTCTTGGACACTGTGGACAAGTTTCAGATTGGGGGGGAGGGGTATAGACACTGAAAATGTTAATGCCTATTACTTTTCACAATTTTTTTGAAATTTAAAATTTGGGGGACTTTTTGGGGGTGCAACAAATATAATCCTTTTTTCTTCCTTATTTTTTTTTCCACCCCCATATCACTATTTTTGTAAAGACCAGATTTTTTAGAATGTAAATTGGTGTGATAAAATAGATTATTGATATTTTTTCAATGCACTGTCCTCTCCCAAAAAGGGCAGTGTGACCTAAGAAAAAAACAAAAGTTTTTTTTTTTACTTAATAATTTATACAAGAAAAGGGATTACTAACCCCTTGTCCCTAGATTATTGTTATCTAGTTGAGATTTCTCCCAGTAAGCCAAAAATTAAATTTTCTGCTTTTAAAAAATTTTAAATGGGGGAAAACAACTTTTTCTGCTAAAAAAATCATTTAAAAAGCATATTTTATATTCTATAATATAGATTGTGCTTTCTTCTTCAACACACGGGGCCGTACCCACTGAGGGGGGTCCCCCCAAAAAAAAAAAAAAATGAAAGTTTCTCCTTTTTCTTCTTTCAACCAGGCCTTTAATCCCACCGAGCGGGGGTGGCCCAAAAAAAAAAAAAACGAAAGTTTCTCCTTTTAATTTGTAATAATACGGAGAAGGGGTTCTAGCCCCTTGCCCGGCATTTTATCCCTCTTACAACAGCATGGCTTCGGAGGAAGAATTCTTTTCCCATTTCCCACATGGAGGTAAAGGGGAAAAAAAACAAAACAAGAACTAGTAAGAACTAAGCTTGTACAGTATGTGTAGTGGCCCTAAGTGAAAGTAGAAGTAGCAAGACGTCCGAAACCTGATGTTATGAGACAAAAAAAAAAAGCACCACAACCCTACCTATTTGAAAACAATTACAGGCTTCTGTTTTACACTCATTGGCAGGACAGTAGTCCCTCCCTGGGGGGGTTTGTGTTCTACCAACCTATTTTTTCCCTTCTTTCAACGTACCAGCCGATCCCACTGAGGTGGGGGGCCCAAAAGAAAAAACTGAAGTTTCCCTTTAAATTTTTGTAAAAATATACAGGAGAAGGGGTTCTGCCCCCTTCTCCTGGCATTTTTTTCGCCTCTTTTCACACGATGGCTTTCAAGGAAGAATTCTGTTCCACTTCCCCTGGAATAAGAGGAAAAAAACAAAACAAGAATTAAAAGAAAAAAGAAGAAAAACCCAGGGGTGTGTAAAATATTTTCTTGTACTTATGTTGGTGCCTAAGGAAGTAGAATTTGCAAGACTTTCCTTTAAATTTTCATATTTTTGAGACAGCAAAAGACCCGCAATCCTACCACATGAAAAAATTAAGGCTTCTGTTTTTTCACTCACTTGGGGGACGTAGTACCTCCCTGGTGGTTGCTGTCACCAACCTCTACCTACTGATTGTCCTTAAATTGCTTAATTTCTTAAAACTTTTGTATTGAGCATTGCCTTTTTTTTTTTTTAAAGGACCTCATCTAGTACGAAATTTTCAGTAAAATTCAGTTTATAATTTCTACTGCAATGTGCTCGTAATTTTCACTTCTTTCCTTGATTTTGCTTCAGTCTTGTTATACTGTTTTCAGATTATATTGAGAGATCCTAGCTATGCACAGAGAGACACATCAGAGACTCCAAAATTTTAAACATTTTAATGCCTTATAATGCATTATTGACTTTATATGTCTGCAGACAAAAAGGTAAGTTTAAGAAAACATTATAATTTTTTAGCTTTTTTTTCCATACAACAATCATAATATACCTTCCCCTTATGCGCATAAAAGCATGTGCAAAAAAAAAATTCAAACACCCTTCATAGAATAAGCCCGCTAAATCTATACCGTGGGCCCTGACCCCTGCGGGGCCCAAATTAGTTTTGGGAAAACAAAACCTCAGCACTTTGGACCCGTTAATTTTCTTACAAACCAAAAATTCTCTTTTCTTGGAGGTTGAGAAAAAACATCCGCAAACCATACCCGGGCGGGGCTGAACCCCTGACAAGAGTCTCAAAACTCCCACCCTCGCGTTACCACGGAAAAAGCTACCACAATAAGATTCGTCCAAAGGTATATTTCTACACCATAGGAAGGGTTAGCATAGGCACCACTGTGACCACAAAAGCAAGTTTTTACAAGCGAATCTCCAGCTAGCGTGGCCACGACGAACTCTAGCTCAAGTCCCCTCAAAGCCGTCAACATGAGACACTCTGATCGTGGGTTCTATCCCCACCCGTGGTATGGTTTGTTTGCAATCGTGTCATTACGATTTTGAGAGTCATGTTGACAGTGCCTGAACTCTAAAGGAGGGGTTTGGGATATTTGCTATTTGGAGGGACATCTGAACTGTTGTATCTGTGAGCCTCTGGCAAGACAGTGATAGTGTGAATAATGGTAAAAGTGTTTCTTTTCGGGCCACCCTGTCTCAGTGGTAGATGACTAATCAGTTTCCATGAATTCGTTTATTAATGTTACTTTGCTCAAACCCCAAAAGCACACATCAACACGCTCTCACACACTTTCTGGAAATCATACCCCTCGCACAGAAAACCTCCTTTACCCCCTCCCTCCAACCTTTCCTAGGACGACCCCTAGGAAAGGTTGGTCATTTCCCACTGAGGTAGAATGACCTGGCAAAGAAACACTTCATCATCATTCACTTTATCACTGTCATGCAATGAGTAGTTTTTGAGAATTATTTTTTTTTTTTTTTTTTATTATCACACCGGCCGATTCCCACCAAGGCAGGGTGGCCCGAAAAAGAAAAACTTTCACCATCATTCACTCCATCACTGTCTTGCCAGAAGGGTGCTTTACACTACAGTTTTTAAACTGCAACATTAACACCCCTCCTTCAGAGTGCAGGCACTGTACTTCCCATCTCCAGGACTCAAGTCCGGCCTGCCGGTTTCCCTGAATCCCTTCATAAATGTTACTTTGCTCACACTCCAACAGCACGTCAAGTATTAAAAACCATTTGTCTCCATTCACTCCTATCAAACACGCTCATGCATGCCTGCTGGAAGTCCAAGCCCCTCGCACACAAAACCTCCTTTACCCCCTCCCTCCAACCCTTCCTAGGCCGACCCCTACCCCGCCTTCCTTCCACTACAGACTGATACACTCTTGAAGTCATTCTGTTTCGCTCCATTCTCTCTACATGTCCGAACCACCTCAACAACCCTTCCTCAGCCCTCTGGACAACAGTTTTGGTAATCCCGCACCTCCTCCTAACTTCCAAACTACGAATTCTCTGCATTATATTCACACCACACATTGCCCTCAGACATGACATCTCCACTGCCTCCAGCCTTCTCCTCGCTGCAACATTCATCACCCACGCTTCACACCCATATAAGAGCGTTGGTAAAACTATACTCTCATACATTCCCCTCTTTGCCTCCAAGGACAAAGTTCTTTGTCTCCACAGACTCCTAAGTGCACCACTCACTCTTTTTCCCTCATCAATTCTATGATTCACCTCATCTTTCATAGACCCATCCGCTGACACGTCCACTCCCAAATATCTGAATACGTTCACCTCCTCCATACTCTCTCCCTCCAATCTGATATTCAATCTTTCATCACCTAATCTTTTTGTTATCCTCATAACCTTACTCTTTCCTGTATTCACCTTTAATTTTCTTCTTTTGCACACCCTACCAAATTCATCCACCAATCTCTGCAACTTCTCTTCAGAATCTCCCAAGAGCACAGTGTCATCAGCAAAGAGCAGCTGTGACAACTCCCACTTTGTGTGTGATTCTTTATCTTTTAACTCCACGCCTCTTGCCAAGACCCTCGCATTTACTTCTCTTACAACCCCATCTATAAATATATTAAACAACCACGGTGACATCACACATCCTTGTCTAAGGCCTACTTTACTGGGAAAAAATTTCCCTCTTTCCTACATACTCTAACTTGAGCCTCACTATCCTCGTAAAAACTCTTCACTGCTTTCAGTAACCTACACCATACACTTGCAACATCTGCCACATTGCCCCCCTATCCACCCTGTCATACGCCTTTTCCCAAATCCATAAATGCCACAAAGACCTCTTTAAGCCTTATCTAAATACTGTTCACTTATATGTTTCACTGTAAACACCTGGTCCACACACCCCCTACCTTTCCTAAAGCCTCCTTGTTCATCTGCTATCCTATTCTCCGTCTTACTCTTAATTCTTTCAATTATAACTCTACCATACACTTTACCAGGTACACTCAACAGACTTATCCCCCTATAATTTTTGCACTCTCTTTTATCCCCTTTGCCTTTATACAAAGGAACTATGCATGCTCTCTGCCAATCCCTAGGTACCTTACCCTCTTCCATACATTTATTAAATAATTGCACCAACCACTCCAAAACTATATCCCCACCTGCTTTTAACATTTCTATCTTTATCCCATCAATCCCGGCTGCCTTACCCCCTTTCATTTTACCTACTGCCTCACGAACTTCCCCCACACTCACAACTGGCTCTTCCTCACTCCTACAAGATGTTATTCCTCCTTGCCCTATACACGAATATAACCTAAATATTCTTTTTTAAATTTTAGTATTATCATTCTTATGGCATACTATAGTAGCAGTTAAGAAAGTAAAATTTGTCTGGTAGTGTAAAAGATATGTATTTTATCCAAAAAAAAAAAGTATATATTTTTTCATCTGGCTCTTATTCTTAAATTATTTTAATCTTCTATTTTGCAGAATCGTTATATTGACAATTTTTCCAATGTAATTCAACTGCCATATCATTTTGAAAATGAACAACAAAGAACAGTTTTGGCCATATCTCGTAATGAAGAAGTGATTGAGCAAGCTTGGCAGATGGGAGTAACACTTGCAGCTGGACTTGATGTTGTTAAGCAAGTGCAGGTCAGTATTCCATACAGTAAAGAATAAAAAAAAGGCATGATACCATGACTGCAACAGTACACAAATAACCTGCACATAGGGGGCAGAGACTTATGAGGAAACTTCATCATAAGTTTCAGTGTCCTAAATGTGGGCTATTTGTGTATTCTGTACAATTGCTCTACACTGAAATTCTGTCTCAAAATCTATGATTTATCATTTAGAGTTTTCATTATACAATAAACAAAGTTCATAAAGGTGTGTTGGAGTAATGTAGCACATCACTTTTTTTGTTTGGACTCATGAAATCATAATAATATGGTTGCAAACAAATCACAGAACAGGTGGGGCTCGTACCCATTATGTGATTTAATTTACTTTAATGTTTGATAATTATGTATGCAGCAACTTTAAAGACTATATTTAACAGTGTAACAAAAGATTGCTTCTTGAGTGAGTGATACAGTATACAGTATACACAGTATTTAAATTCCTTATTTTTTACCGTTTCATGACTAGACTGTGTCTAAAAAATGAAACATTCACCAGCAGGTCCCCTCAGGAAAGGTTCCTTGAGGTAAATGTTGGACTTCTGTTTCAAGGAATTGAAATTGACCTCTGTGACCAAGTAGATTAAAATGGTGTCTAAAGATTTATCTTGAATTTGTAAGTGCCCTTCAAGAAAGATTTCTTGATGCTGATGAAGGACTTTTGATTCAAAGAATTTTCTGTTTCCTCCCATTCCTTAGATTGCCTCCTATTCCCCAGGCACTGTATGACCCCTGTGGGCTTAGTAATTCCCTTTATAATAATAAGCATAGGGAACAAATGGATTTGTCAGTTAAAAACAGAGTAGGGGAGTTAATAGATGGGGAGATGGAGGTTTTGGGTAGATGGCGAGAATATTTTGAGGAACTTTTAAATATCGACAAAGAAAGGGAGGCGGTAATTTCATGCACTGGCCAGGGAGGTATATCATCTTTTAGGAGTGAAGAAGAACAGGATGTGAATATGGGGGAGGTGCATGAGGCATTACATAGAATGAAAGGGGTAAAGCAGCTGGAACTGACGCAATCATGACAGAAATGTTAAAAGCAGGGGGGGGGGGGGGGATATAGTGTTGGAGTGGTTGGTGTTTTTGTTTAAGAAATGCATGAAAGAGGGGAAGGTACCTAGAGATTGGCAGAGAGCATGTATAGTCCCTTTATATAAAGGGAAGGGGGACAAAAGAGATTGTAAAAATTATAGAGGAATAAGTTTACTGAGTATACCAGGAAAAGTGTACGGTAGGGTTATAATTGAAAGAATTAGAGGTAAGACAGAATGTAGGATTGCGGATGAGCAAGGAGGTTTTAGAGTGGGTAGGGGATGTGTAGATCAAGGGTTTGCATTGAAGCATATATATGAATAGCATTTAGATAAAGGTAGGGAAGCTTTTATTGCATTTATGGATTTAGAAAAGCCGTATGATAGAGTGGATAGGGGAGCAATGTGGCAGATGTTTGCAAGTATATGGAATAGGTGGTAAGAGTTTTTATGAGGATAATGGGCTCGGTTAGGGTGTGTAAAAGAGAGGGAGACTACATCCTGGTAAAAGTAGGTCTTAAACAGGATGTGTAATGTCACCATGGTTGTTTAATATATTTATAGATGGGGTTTGTAAAAGAAGTAAATGCTAGGGTGTTCGGGAGAGGGTGGGATTAATTATGGGGAATCAAATACAAAATGGGAATCGACACAGTTGCTTTTTGCTGATGATACTGTGCTTATGGGAGATTCTAAAGAAAAATTGAAAAGGTTAGGGGACGAGTTTGGGAGTGTGTGTAAAGGGAGAAAGTTGAAAGTGAACATAGAAAAGAGAAAGGTGATGAGGTATCAAATGATTTAGATAAAGAAAAAATTGGATATCAAATTGGGGAGGAGGAGTATGGAAGAAGTAAATGTTTCAGATACTTGGGAGTTGACGTTCGGCGGATGGATTTATGAAGGATGAGGTTAATTTATAGAATTGATGAGGGAAAAAAAGGTGAGGGTGCATTGGGTATATGTGGAGACAAAAATGTTATCTATGGAGGGAAAGAAGGGAATGTATGAAAGTATAGTAGTACCAACACTCTTATATGGGTGTGAAGCTTGGGTTGTGAATGCAGCAGTGAGGATGCCAGTTGGAGGCAGTGGAGATGTCCTGTCTAAGGGCAATGTGTGTGTAAGTATTATGCAGAAAATTCGGAGTGTTGGAAATTAGAGAAGGTGTGGAGTTAATAAATGTATTAGTCAGAGGGCTGAAGGGGGGTTGTTGAGGTGGTTTGGTCATTTAGAGAGAGTGGATCAAAGTAGAATGACATGGAGAGTGGTTAAAACTGTAGGGGAAAGGAAGGCGGGGTAGGGGTCATCCTCGAAAAGGTTGGAAGGAAGGGGTAAAGGAGGTTTTTTGGGCGAGGGGCTTGGACTTCCAGCAGGCGTATGTGAGCGTGTTTGATAGGAGTGAATGGAAACGAATGGTATTGAGACTTTGACGATCTGTTGGAGTGTGAGCAGGGAAATATTTAGTGAAGGGATTCAGGGAAACCGGTTATTTTTATATAGCTGGACTTGAGTCCTGGAAATGGGAAGTACAATGCCTGCACTCTAAAGGAGGGGTTCGGGATATTAGCAGTTTGGAGGGATATGTTGTGTATCTTTATACGTATATGCTTCTAAACTGTTGTGTTCTGAGCACCTCTGCAAAAACAGTGATTACATGTGAGTGAGGTGAAAGTGTTGAATGATGACGAAAGTATTTATTTTTGGGGATTTCTTTCTTTTTGGGTCACCCTGCCTCGGTGGGAGACGGCCGAGTTGTTAAAAAAAAAAATAATAATAATAATAATCCTAGGTAGTAGGTTGGTAAACAGCAACTGCCCAGAGAGGTACTACTATCCTGCCAAGTGAATGTAGAACCAAGCCTGTGATGGTAGGATTGCTAGTGTCTTCTTTTGTCTCATAAACATGCAAGATTTCAGGTACATCTTGCTACTTCTGCTTACACTTAGGTCACACTACACATGCATGTACAAGCATATATATACACACCCCTGTGGGTTTTTCTTCTATTTTCTTACTAGTTCTTGTTCTTAGTTATTTCCTCTTATCTCAGTGGAACAGAATTCTTCCTCTGTAAGCCATGTGTGTCATAAGAGACAACTAAAATCCCGGGAGCAAGAGGCTAGTAGCCCCTTTTCCTGTATACATTACTAAAGTTAAAAAGAGAAACTTTTTTTTTTTTTCTTTTTGGGCCACCCTACCTTGGTGGGATACGGCTGGTTTGTTGAAAGAATAATAATATTGAAGAGTTAACTTGTGTTTGATCTGGGAGAGTGTGAGAACCCCAGGTGTTCATCTCACATTGGGGACATGTTTCCTGATTAGCTGGAACTATGTCCTGGAGGTGGAAAGTACAATGCCTGCATTTTAAATGAACCCATAATGTTAAATACAAGTTATTTTGTTTCTATTTTTGTACTTGTATATACTCTACTGAACATTATATAAAGTTATTCTTTGATTTTTGTTATTATTAGGTTCATGGGGGGACTCATGAACCTGTAGGGGGTTATACAGCACCTAAGGGAATGAGTTTGATCCAGGGAAGGGGAGATCAAGCTCACTTCCTTGAATCAAGAGCCCCTTGCTGGCATTGAGGAACTGTCCTTGAAGGACTTTGTATATTTAATCCGTTTTTATTTGTTCCTTTTAGATTATATCTGTATCCTTAAATTATTATAGTGAAATATTTCCAGAGTGGGGAGGTAAGCTTTCAGGATATTCAGCACTTTATTGCTGAAAAAGACACTTTGCCAGACCTGGTACCCATTCGTGGGCTTATGAAGAGACGATTCCCAAGTGTTATGAATGGTGAGTACAGAATTCATAATGATTGTATTTTACGTGTCTTATAAGAGTCAGTAAAATCAAGTAAATAAAGATGAGCACTGTATTATACATCTCTCAATTTTTTAACATGGTAATATTTTTTTTATTATTTATTAACAGATCTGCTGTTTCCCACCAAGGCAGGGTAGCCCGAAAAAGAAAAACTTTCATCATCATTTACTCCATCACTGTCTTGCCAAAGGCATGCCTACACTACAGTTATAAAACTGCAACATTAACACCCCTCCTTCAGAGTTCAGACACTGTACTTCCCATTCCCACGACTCAAGTCCGGCCTGCCGGTTTCCCTGAATCCCTTCGTAAATGTTACCTTGCTTACACTCCAACAGCATGTCAAGTCCTAAAAAACATTTGTCTCCATTTGTTCCTGTCTAACATGCTCACACATGCTTGCTGGAAGTCCAAGCCCCTCACACACAAAACCTCCTTTACTCCCTCCCTCCAACCTTTCCAAGGCCAACCCCTACTCTACTTTCCCTCCACTACAGATTTGTATACTCTCAAAGGCATTCTGTTTTGTTGCACCCTCTACATGTCCAAACCATCTCAATAACCCTCCTCAGCCCTCTGGATAATATTTTTGGTAATTCCACACCACCACCTTATCTCCAAACTATGGATTCTCTGCATTATATTCACACCACACATTGCCCTCAGACATGAGATCTCCACTGCCTACAGCCTTTTCCTTGTTGCAACATTCACAACCCATACCTCACACCCATACATTCCCCTCTTCGCTTTCATGGATAAAATTCTTTGTCTCCAGAGACTCCTCAGTGCACCACTCACCTTTTTCCCCTTGTCAATTATATGATTCACCTCATCTTTCATAGACCCATCTGCTGACACATCCACTCCCAAATATCTGAACACATTCACCTCCTCCATACTCTCCCTCCAATCTGATATCCAATCTTCCGTTACCGAATTTTTTTTTGTTATCCTTACTCTTTCCTATATTCACTTTTAACTTCCTTCTTTCACATACCCTACCAAACTCATCAGCCAACCTCTGCAACTTCTCTTCAGAATCTCCCAAATGTATAGTGTCATCAGCAAAGAGCAACTGTGACAACTCCCACTTTGTGTTAGATTCTTTATCTTTTAACCCCACACCTCTTGCCAACACCTGAGCATAAACTTCTCTTATTACTCCATCTATAAATATATTGAACAACCATGGTGGCATCACACATCCCTGTCTAAGACCTACTTTTACTGGGAAATAATCCCCCTCTTGCCTACATACTCTAACCTGAGCCTCAATGTCTTTGTAAAAACTTTTCACTGCTTTCAATAACCTACCTCTTATTCCATACATTTGCAACATCTGCCACATTGCCCCCCTATCCTCCCTTTTCCAAATCCATAAATGCAACAAAAACCTGTTTACCCTGATCTTAATACTTTTCACCTGTGTGTGTTGCTGCAAACACTTGGTCTAAATACCCCCTACTTTTCCTAAAGCTTCCTTATTCATCTGCTATTCTGCTCTGTCTTACTCATAATTCTATCAATAATAACTCTACCATACACTTTACCAGGTATACTCACTTTTTTTTTTTCGACAAACCGGCCGTATCCCACCAAGGCAGGGTGGCCCAAAAAGAAAAACGAAAGTTTCTCTTTTTAAATTTAGTAATTTATACGGGATAAGGGGTTAACAGCCCCTTGCTCCCGGCATTTTAGTCGCCTCTTATAACACGCATGGCTTACGGAGGAAGAATTCTGTTCCACTTCCCCATGGAGATAAGAGGAAGTAAACAAGAACAAGAACTAGAAAGAAAATAGAAGAAAACCCAGAGGGGTGTGTATATATATGCTTGTACATGTATGTGTAGTGTGACCTAAGTGTAAGTAGAAGTAGCAAGACATACCTGAAATCTTGCATGTTTATGAGACAAAAAAAGGACACCAGCAATCCTACCATCATGTAAAACAATTACAGGCTTTCATTTTACACTCGGCAGGAATTTAGTACCTCCCTGGGCGGTTGCTGTCTACCAACCTATTACCTAGAATACTCAGACTTATTCCCCTATAATTTTTACACTCTCTTTTGCCCCCTTTGCCTTTATACAAAGGAACTATGCATGCTCTCTGCCAGTCCCTAGGTACCTTACCCTCTTCCATACATTTATTATATAAAAACACTAACCACTCCAAAACTATATCTCTACCTGCTTTTAACATTTCTATCTTTATCCCATCACTCCCAGCTGCTTTACCCCCTTTCATTCTACTCACTGCCCCATGCACTTCCCTCACACTCACAACTGGTTCTTCCTCACTCCTATAAGATGTTATTCCTCCTTGCCGTATACATGAAATCGCAGCTTTCCTATCTTCATCAACATTTAACAATTATTCAAAATATTCCCTCCATCTTCCTGATACCTCTAACTCTCTATTTAATAACTCTCCTCTCTTGTTTTTAACTAACAACTCCATTCTTTCCCTAGGCTTTCTCAACTTATTAATCTCACTCCAAAACTTTTTCTTCTTTTCAACAAAATTTGTTGATAACATCTCGCCCACTCTCCCATTTGCTCTCTTTTTACATTGCTTCACCACTCTTTTAGCCTCTCTTTTTCTCTTCATATACTTCTCCCTCCTTGCATCACTTCTACTTTGTAAAAACCTCTCATATGCTAACTTTTTCTCTCTTACTACTCTCTTTACATTATCATTCCACCAATCGCTCTTCTTCCTCCCCCCCCCCCCCTGCACCCACTTTCTGTAACCACAAACTTCTGCTGAACACACACTATATTCTTCAACTTACCCCATACATATATCTCATTGCCTGTATTCTCACTAGCCCATCTCTCCTCCAACAGTTGTTTATATCTTGCCGTAACTGCCTCCTCCTTTAGTTTATAAACTTTCACTTCTCTCTTACTTGCCACTTCCATTTTCCTTGTATTCCATCTTCCTTTTACTCTCACTGGTAATATGTATTGTAATATTTTTCTATCCTTGCCTTTCCAGTATTTACCCACCCCACAGATATGAAAGCTGGATAGTGAGTGTAGTGATCTCTCAGTTTATAGTATAGTAACCCTCTAAATAGGAAGGGATGTTTTTCCAAGGCTGCTTCATTGCGGACTAAGGGATTGGTATCTTGCATTACAAACAGGAAGATGACAATAAAGCTGTTATCTGTACTTCTGGCTAAAGGGCTGTAACTTGAGAGCTTCTTTCCCATGCAAATAAGGTGGCCAAAACAGATCAGCTTGTCATGTATCCCAAACTCATATACTGGATAAACTGCTTGGTAATGGAAGTTACTCAGCATAAAATTACACCTCACAAAACTGCTCTTCTTTTTCCACTGCATGAAGAATATAAAACATTTGATAATAATAATAATAATAATAATAATAAGGCGGGGTAGGGGTCGTCCTAGAAAAGGTTGGCGGGAGGTGGTAAGGGATGTTTTATGGGTGAGGGGCTTGGACTTCCAGCAAGCATGTGTGAGCATATTAGATAGGAGTGAATGGAGACGGATGGTTTTTGGGACCTGATGAGCTGTTGAAGTGTGAGCAGGGTAATATTTAGTGAAGGGATTCAGGGAAACCACTTGTTTTTATATAGCAGGACTTGAATACTGGAAATGGAAAGTACAATGCCTGCACTTTAAAGGAGGGATTTGGGATATTGGCAGTTTGGAGGGGTATGTTATAAATCTTTAAACATATATGCTTCTAAACTGTTGTATCTGGGCACCTCTGCAAAGACAGTGATTATGTGTGAGTGAAGTGAAAGTGTTGAATGATAATGAAAGTATTTTCTTTTTGGGGATTTTCTTTCTTATTGGGTCACCCTGCCTCGGTGGAAGATGGCCAACTTGTTGAAAAAAGGAAAAAAAAAAAAATAATTTTATTTTGGCATGATACATATTTGTACAAAGAAATGTAATAGTTGGGTGTACATGCCAAATGCCCCTTTATTTGCAGAGCATTTCAGGCAAACTTAAAATTTACTTATGATTAATAAAGCAATAACAGTACATATGGTCATTAGATGAGTTACAATGAATACCAGATAATTTAGCATTCTATTAGGTCGTGCTATATGGCTTTAATAAGTCTTGCAGAGAAGACATACAGTTTTGATTATTAACCTTAGGCGGACACAATGGAGTGATTACCATTTTAGATAAATACAGATATTGACAGTAAATATATATTGAATATGTTGACGAGAAAATTTTGAAAAGATTTAGCCTGACACGGGGAATGTCATAGAGGTTTTTGTGCCTAGTGTTTTGTCTGAGAGTCCTATTGCAACTGTCAAGAAAGCATTTCAGGTTGGGCTTTATATTAGAATTGATTGTTCTGTATATGTAGGTTGCACAATAGTACAAGTGAATGTTTTGTATAGCGAGTAGGTTTAGGTCTTTGAAGTGTGGGGGGGGGGGTGTTTTTTCTAGCATTGGATTATGTGATCATTTGCACTGCAGCTTTTTATTGTGTTACTATTGGTTTTAGATGGATTTTTGTTATGGAACCCCAGGCACAAATAGCATAGGTGAGGTATGGATAGATCAGTGAATAGTATAGTGTAAGTAGTGCTGTTTGTGCTACATAGCAACGTATCTTTGAGGATGCCAACTGTTTTAAAACCTTTTTTTGTTATGTGTTGGATATGGGTGTTGAATTTCAGGTTGTTATCAAGGTGCAGACCCAGGAATTTTCCCTCATTATGTTTAACAATAAGGGTGTTGTTAAGCATAATGTTTAGTTGGATGAGTTGGAAACATCAGTGTACAGAAAATTCCTAATCAGGATGGCAGTATCCATAACCAAGTATTCTTGGTTATGGTTTATTAGCTGAGAAATAGGGAAAAAAGAACATCGATTTATTTTGTGTGATGAACTCAAAATGGAAGGCAAGTGATATATAGGCGAGGGCTGTGGATTTTATTAATGGGTAGAGGAAATGTTGCTTTAGTGGCTGGAATGCTTATATATAGTGCTTGTTTTGGACTGTTTATAATTAGAAATTTGTTAAAATTAAATGTAAAATTGGTCAAAATACCATATTCTGGGTACTAATATTATGGTAGTTCTGATGGTTCAATGGGCATTTTCTTTGGATCATTGAATAGTACAGGAAAATAGCACAATAGAGCACTAGAATAGGCTAAATGGGAGCACTAGAATAGGCTTTAAAAAAGATCTTACAGTGGTGAAATTGGTGTTGCATCAAGTGCTTCCTGACCGCCAGCTTTGTGCCTGCATAATTCCCTAAGTATTACATCAAATTTGGTATTATTACCTTTGGACAAAGACTCTCTTCCATTTTAGATCATTTTTTTTCAAGAATGTGGATACAAAAAAGGGCTTTCAATTTATGGGTGTAGACAGTTTATGAGCTAAAGGGAAGGAAAATAATTTTTAAATTGAACAATATATGGTACAGTGGTCCCTCAATAATCGTCCGGATCGATAGTCGTCCTTTTCAGAAATCGTTGTGTTATTCTCGTCCAAACATTGGCTCGCAAATGGTCGGTTTACTCGCTAATCATCCTTCGTCCGGGACGCATACTCACGCTCTGAGCCGCCTCGGCCTCCCTTCCCAGCCAGTGTGCCATTGTTTACCAGTGAGCGATGGTCCCCCTCACTTGTTCATACGAAATATTTCATAATATTCCATTCATTTTAGTGCTTGCAAGTGCTAAATAAGCTACCATGGCTCCAAAGAAAGCTCCTAGTGTCAAGCCTTTGGTAAAGAAAGTGAGAAATACGATTGAATTTAAGAAAAATATCATTGAACAATATGAAAGTGGCGTACGTGTGGCCGAACTGGCCAGGATGTATAACAAATCCCGTACAATCATATCTTCCATCGTGGCCAAGAAAAAGGAAATCAAGGAAGCTGTTGTTGCAAAGAGGATAAATATGCTGACAAAAATGAGATCACCAGTACTCGAAGATGTTGAGAAGTTATGGTGGATAAACGAGAAACAATTAACAGGAGATACTCTTTTGATGCCGATTATTTGTGAAAAGGCTAGGCAGTTGCATGATGATCTGGTAAAGAAATTGCCTGCAACGAATACTGATAATTGTGAATTTAAGGCCAGCAAAGGTTGGTTTGAGAGATTTAAGAAGCGTAGTGGCATACACAGTGTGATAAGGCATGGTGAAATGTGGGGTAGGATGGAAAGATTTATGGAGAAACATCACCCTGAGAAGGATGTTGCAAGCCAATAATACTGGCAACTTGTACAGTGACAGAGTCTTGACCCATTTTAGGGAAGTTTTAATGAGATGCCAGAAACTGAGCTCTCTGGGCACTTTTTTTGTGAGACAGGACTCCAGTGACTCTCAAGCTGGTCCTAGTGGCATTAAGAAACAGAGAAGAGAAGTAACCTCAGAAAAGCACTTGGTACCTGAGGTGTTGATGGAAGGGGATTCCCCTTCCAAACAGTAACTAATCCAATCTCTCTCCTCCTCCAGTCTTCCATACACTAAGAAGAATCGCCAATAAAGGTAAGTGTTATGCTGTTAATGTTTCATTCA